GACGCTACACAACAAATGACCAACAGTAAACTGATCGCGCGCGCTCTGTTTCTGACGCACTTTAAGCACTCGCTGAGCGGGGGAGGATTGATGCGCTGGACCCGAGTCGGGGGACTTAGTTAAGTTTTTGTGGAGTTGTTTTGCTTTATTTTGTAGTATTTCGAATTAATGGTTTTAAAATAGTATTAGTAAAAAAAAAAAAAAAAAAAATCACTCGTTCACTCATTTTGGCGCCCCTATTGAGTGGTGGCGCCCTTAGCATTTGCCTATACCGCCTATGCCACGGGCCGGCCCTGATTGCCCCTCCTTGCCCATGCCTATATCCGGCCCCGCCTTTCATAGCAACTATGCTACAAATTATGGTAAGGAAAATTATGTGGTTGCTGGCAATGCACTTCGAGAGCAAGGCATGAGTATTACACAAAGGGCCATCATTGTTAGTGTCATAGAGCCATGGTTGTCAGCCAGCCCAGATGGGGTAATTGTCCTACTCAAAATAAAATGTCCTGCCCCGAGTAAACTCCATTCTACCCTCTTGGATCAACTTGACCATAACTGCAGTGATGTCAAACTAGTAGATGGAGTACCACAACTTCAGAAAACAGGTAGCCGAGGATATTACATGCAGGTACAATTAGGCATGTTTTGTGCCGGTCTGAAGATGGCCAAATTGTTTATCTGGAGCCCTAATGACAGTTATGCTCACTGTACAATTTGATGAGCCCTATGTTCTGGAGAGAGTAGGACATCTGAAGAGATTTTATTTCTCAACAATGTTGCCCCAGCTTGTGAATGAATTTGTTGGTCAGCGACTGAAACTGCAAAACAGATACATGAGCATAATGAATTAATAGAAAATATCCTTAAGAAACATTTTATTCAAATCACAAAACAACTGTGTTGTGCTGCTGCTGTTAACAGTATGAAAACTCATTTTTTTACACAATCTATTCCTTGCATTTAAAGTATTGTTGTACTTAAGTGAATATTTACAAATACAGCATGTTGTTCATTTAAAATTGTATGCAAATCTGTTAAAATCTATTGTACACAAAGAATAACAACAAGTTTCATACAAAGAGTAAATATAAACAGTAAAAATTTACAAAAGGCAGCGAGTGTCAATATGAAATATACAGGAGCAATTTATGTAGATGTTTAAAGTGTGTGTGTGTGTGTATCTGCGCGCAGATGCAACTACAACATCAGAACATCACCGCTGTCACTTATCACTCACGGATGAAATCACCCCTTAAGTTGGCGAGGGCCGCACAGATTCTGAGGATTTTGGGGGTCATGTTTATTGGTATCACTTGAGACAATATCTTGTATACTTTAAGTCGCCTGATTGCCCTCTCAACATGAATCCGAACATTTGCAATCCTGCGAGTTGCTGTGACTTGTTCCTCAGTTAGCTGAGCACCCCCTATAGTGAAAGCAGGCAGAACCAATTTGACCCTTTTTTCAAACAGTAAATCACGAATCAAGAACCCATGATCTGCCATGACTTTGTCTCCAGGCTTTAAATAGTCCAAGATACCAGAGTTCGTAGTGATATATTTGTCACTGGCACGTCCTCCATATCCAGTTGAGATAAACATGATTAAGCCACATGGGGCAACAGCAACAAGGTATTTGATTGTGTTGTGTGAGTAGTAATGGCTGTAGGACTCCCCTCTAGAGTCAAGATTTTTCGCCTGTAACAAACTTTCGCTGCAGTCAATGACACAGGTGGTGTTGGGAAAACACTTCTTGAATGCAGTTGGCATAGTGGCCTTAATGGTTTCTTTTGGGAGCCAGATAATAAGAGGGCGCAGGACCTGCTCCATTTTATCAATCCAAAATGAGATAACCTTACTGGCAACACTCTGAGATACATTTAACTGCCTACCAAGGTCACCCAGAACACGATTTAATTTCAATTTTATCAGTGTCATTAGTATCTGATCACGCACTGACAAAACAAAAGCCCTTTCAGCAAATCCATCTAAGGTGGAAACAAGAGAGTTGAAGGTTTCCAGTGAGACTCCAGTGTAGAGGAATGAATTGGCATCACTTTGAAGCATGGAGTAGCTGAAATCTTCAGTTTGTGTTGTGGCATCTTTGGCCGTCTCGTCAACACCCTGCTGTTCACCATAGTTGTGGTGTACAATGGTCCAGTTCAACTAATACAAAATCAGATGTTTTCAAACCAGGGTCCAAGAAACCTCAGGGTTTGCTTCAGTACAATTTAATTTACAAAACTTGTTTTTATATTAAAATATGAAACTTAATATTTTTCTGAGACATTATAAATGGATCGTTATAGATAAAAATCTGCAGCAGCATTTTGAAATATTTTTTCTATTTCAAAAAATACTCAAAGAACATTTTTAAGTAAATATCAAAATGAATATCCATTATTCATATAGCACATTATAATGATGTGTTGCTTAAAGGAGCTGTATGTAAGATTGTGGCCAAAACTGGTACTGCAATCACTTTCAAATTACTGTAGAGCAGTGTATCCCCTCCCCCTCCCCCCTGACTCGAGGTTGCCAGATAGGCTGCTGGATCCAGCAGGAAAGTAGGCTGCTACAAGGAGCTTTCAACTAGAGCAGAGCTGGCAACCCGGATGCCGAAACACTACTGACTTCGTGATTGGTAGATAGGTGGAGGGTGGGGCTTCAGGCCAAAACACAAGATGACAACATCAACATCAGTTGAGGGCTGCAACTTCACTTTTTAAATGACAATATCGTGGCCGTACTATTGTTGTCAGTGATTTAAGTATTTGAAATGAACATGATTTATTAATGTCTAGAGACACATAAGGGCCATTTTATGATTAATTGAAATACATTTCTTACATACAGCTCCTTTAAATACTTGAATCATTTATTATTTAAATTTCTGGTAACAATTTTCTTAAAGTCTTTATATATAATGCATTATAGAAATATTTTAATGTATTAATTATGCCTTGTATTGACAATTATAATATAGCTATTCTTTGTTATGCCCTTTAAACTTATAATTCATTAAAACACATAAAAAAACACCAATTTCAGATGTAACAAGGAATCTTTAATTCTAAAGATAGTGAAGTCTGCCTTCACGCCTCTTATAAAAATGGATAGTTGCGCTGTATCCGTATTGTCTGTACTTTCATAAACAGCTAATGAAAAAGTCTGGTAACTGCGTGTCTCTTCGGCCAGCTGTGTTGTCAGATTGCCTGCCAGTTCCTTAACTCGGTCTACGATGGTGTTTCTTGACAAACTGAAATTTTTTAAATTCTGTATCTGGTCGGGGCACACCTGCTCACATACCTTTAGCATACTCCTCTTCAAAAATGCTCTCTCTGAAAAACACTTGGAAACACGGGCTATTTCTTCAGCCACAATAAAGCTAGCTTTCACGGCTGCATCATTTTGTACTGTGGCTTTTGTGAACATATTTTGCTGCCATTGCAGTCTGCCTTTCAATTCTTGAACAATTTGATTTTTTTCTTGGAGACTAGAGTTAGCATACTTCGCTCCGTGTTTGGTGTCAAAATGCCGACGTAAATTGTATTCCTTCATCACCGACACTGCCTCGCCACACAGAAGACATACCGGTTTTTCTCCTTGAAGTACAAACATGTATTCACTTTCCCATCATTCTTTAAATTGCCTCCCCTCTGCATCAATTTTTCTCTTTTTGGACATTTTAGTTTATACATTTTAAATTTGGGTTGTTTATAGCTCTTTCTCAACTCCACTGCGCGCGCCGATTTGGAAACACTGCTATCTAGCGGCACGATGCCGTCATTTCGTGGGTTACAAAATCGACATGCATTGTGGGAGATGTAGTTTTTGGTCAATGTACACTGTAAGCATACTTTATTTTAAGACAATCATATGCATTTTGAGCTCGCGCGGGCCACATAAAATGACAGGGCGGGCCCGCGGGCCTTGAGTTTGACACATGTGCTACAGACTAAACACGTAATAAGCATGTGCACACTGTCAGCGTTTTTGAAGTTTGCACGGAGATAACCTTTTTTCAAAAAAATTCAAGGCTTGCACCTTGGAACCTATTTCAAGGTTTGCGTTCTCGAGCCACCAGGCACTGTTGAGCCACCAGACACTTGTTTAGGGTTGAGTGTTGTTTTTTTGAGCAGTGGGGTTACCCATGCCTCCTTAAATGTGGTGGGAAATTTGACAGTAGTGTGGAATATGTTGATGATATGAGTCAGAGCAGTTAGTAATCTCAGTGAAACTTTGGAGAACTTGTTCTCTGTGAGGGGAGAGAAGGAAGAGAAGAGTGGAATGAGTGTGGATGATGGTTGGCTGTGGGTAAGTGGTGGTTGCCACATCGTTGGTGAATTAGCTGGCAAAATTCTCAGCAGTCAGAGAAGAGGTGGAGGGGGGCGGAATAGGAGAATGTTGTGAATATATTCTGGCTGTCTGAGGTGTTGCTGAATTTGGTATTAAGCATTTGCTGCAAATGTTTTGCTTTTAGGTTCAGTCGATCGGGGAATTGTAACTCCCGCGATGTTTGGACCAACACGGTGGATCATTCAGAACTTATAACCAACATTTGCTGCTTCCTCTCTGACAAAAATGGTGTTATCTTTTAATAAATCATTACATGGAATTACTGTGTGATGAGTTTTTGGTCTGATGGTTGAGCAGGGAGTTTGTTCTGTTTTCTTTTCCCTTTAAAGTTATTGCGTTTTAAACCCTAGAAGATGTAGTAAATGGGAGATAGAGATGAGTCTATAATTAATCAGCTCTCCTGGGTCAAACTTTTTTAAGGGTTTAACTGCCAGCTTGAAAGATTTTGGGATTTGCCCTGAAGAAAGTGAAAAGTTAGTAATATTGAGAAGGGGTTCTCAGAATACATGTAACATATTTCAGTAACTTAATGGGTATAGGATCTAGTTGAATGTTGGTTTTGATGCTTTACATGTCTAAATGTTTATGTCTATTGGTTTGTGCCATTAAACCAGGATTAACTTTGGTCTTTTTGCACCTTAGACATGAAAGAAGAGAGTGAAGAACTGAAGAAAAATGAAGAAAAATATCAACATGAGGATCATCATGATTTCATAACTGGAGTAAAATCTTTTAGTTTTGATGAACATGGGAAACTTAAAGTTCACATGACAATTCACAATGGCGAAAAACCTTACACATGCCCACAGTGTGGAAAGAGTTTTAATCTAAAAGGACACTTTGAAGAACACATGAGAATTCATACAGGAGAGAGCCCTTACACCTGTCAACAGTGTGGAAACAAATTTACTCAAAAAGGAAGCCTTAACAGGCACGTGAGAATTCACACTGGAGAGAAGCCTTACACCTGCCAACAGTGTGGAAAGAGTTTCAGTCAACATGGAAACCTTGCTGACCACATGAAAGTTCACTCTGGAGAGAAGCCTTACACCTGCCATCAGTGTGGAAAAAGTTTCAATCGAAAAGGAAACCTTAATTGCCACATGAGAATTCACACTAAAAAGAGCCTTTTCACCTGCCAACAGTGTGGAATGAGTTTCACTGTAAAAGGAAGCCTTAACAGCCACATGAAAATTCACACTGGAGAAAAGCCTTACACATGCCTTCAATGTGGAAAGAGTTTTAATCAACATGAAAACCTTGAAGTCCACATGATGAGAGTTCATTCTGAAGAGAAGCTTTACACGTGCCCTCAGTGTGAAAAGAGTTTCAATCAAAAAGGACACTTTGAAGTCCACATGAGAGCACACTCTGAAGAGAAGCTTTACACATGCCCTCAGTGTGAAAAAAGTTTCAATCAGAAAGGACACTTTGAAGACCACATACGAATTCACACTGGAGAGAGGCCTTTTACCTGCCAACAATGTGGGAAAGGTTTCAACCGAAAAGGAATCCTTAACAGGCACATAAGAATTCACACTGGAGAGAAGCCGTTTATATGTGGGCACTGTGGAATGTGTTTCCAATATAAAGTAACCCTAAAGTACCACATGAGGATTCACTTATGAGAGAACTGTTTTTTACTGTTTTATATTGTATCAGTGTGAAAGGAGTTTCACAAACAGGAAACACATTAGGAATCATTTAATAACTCACACCGAAGAGAACCCTGTCATGTTCCATCACTGTGGAAAGGTGAACAAAGGAACAGAAAACAAAGGAAACCTTGAGGCTTTTTTCTATTCCAATTTCTATTTTCTACTCAAGACTCGGAATTACTCAGACTGTTATATGATATGGAGATATATAAGCCCAAACATAAAAACCAAAAATATTAAAAATATATTTTTTAAATGTATAAAAATATTATGTGAATGTAGTATAACAACTTATAACCACAACATACAGTGAAGCCACAAAGTGTGGTCATGCTTCATTTCAAATCTGAGGATGATATCTTTAAAACTATGCATTCTGTGAATAAATTTATAAGATCATGTCGTGAGTTTTTAGAGAAGGCAGATAAAATGCTAATCAAATATGTTATTGCCCTGTGAACCCCCATTTGCAGTCTATGACTAATGTCTGGCAAGGAGAACTGCTCCATTCATGCTCTATTGTTGTCAACCTTTTGGATTTTGGATTTAAAATGTGAGAGGGTATCAGTATTATGGAGGTCCGGTGGAATCGAGTTCCATGATGAGCAGAGCCCCCATAGTAGGGGTGTGCAAAAAAATCGATTCACATTTGAATCACGATTCAATCTTTACCGATTCAGAATCGATTCATAGAATTCCAAAAATCGATTCATATATATATATTTTTTTTTATGGCGTGCACGGGCGGAGTGGCAATCGGGTGAGTCGGGACTTTTACCGGTGGTTCGGTAGTGTTTCGAGGCTGCGAGGGCCGGTCTGATAAATAGTTACATTGCAAGTTCTTGCCGCCCACTGGTCAAACTGCAGCCTCTCTGCTCAACCCGTAAATAAATGCATCGATCCGCAGATTATGTTTGAGTTCTTAATGGTCTGTAGATCTTTTGCCAAGCGTGTCAGAGGTTACGGGTTCTAAACCGCACTCGTATAGTTTTTTCTCTCTCATCAAAACCGAATATGTTCATCACGTTTGTGTACATTTTATTTTGAGATTTCACCGGAACCACAACGGCGATATGAAGCGCGCGTGCGTCCGAGTGAAGACTGCGCGAGCCACAGAGAACACTGTATCCATGACACTGATAGCAGCGGCAACGAGCGCTGTCAGCGCTCGCTTGATTTCAAAAACAACAGATCTCTTATTTAATAGCGAACTAAATGAATGCTCTGTTAGTTAACTGGAGATACCCGCAAATTACGCCTATGAACGACCTCACTGGATCTAAACAAATCAATCTAACCATAGATGTTACCACTAGCGGTGGCTTTTTAAAATCTATTTAAAATTATTTTGCAAGGGTTCTATGACATTAGTATATTTTTAGGAAGTTCAATGTGCCCAGTCGAGTTCACATTTCAACAGTCAGCCTGGTAGCTAAAGTAGTCCTTAAACCACATTTAGCATAATTGTTTGTTTGATCTGACTACAGCACTTTAAAGCTAAATGTAAAAGTTTTTATTTAAGTTTTATTTTAAACTTGAATTAAATGTATTTGAAAGCTGGCCAAAGCTTGGCACTTTGCACTTTTTAGTTGCAAAAGTTTTTATTTTTGTATGAAGACATAAAGTAATATCAAACTACATTTAATTTGTTGTTTTTTTCTTTTAAATTGTGTCTACTGCAATCAATCACATAGGAAAAAGTAAACTACATTTATAAACTGCGAATCGTTTTTTTGAATCGAGAATAGTTTTTGAATCGAAAATCGATTTTGAATCGAATCTTGAGACAAAAAATCGGTATCGAATCGTGACATTTTCTGAATCGTGCACCCCTACCCCATAGTAACAGGGCGGACACGGGGAACACTACAATGCATAGAAGAAGAGGATCTGAGCAGTGTTAATTTCGTCATTATTTTCGTCAACGACATTTTTTCACTGACGAAAACGAGACGATAACTAAATAAAAACCAGTTTAAAATGACGACAACTATGGCGAAAATTTATTGACATTTTCGTCAACAAATAAAAACTAAACAAAAATGTTAGGGAGGGACGATTGGGAAGAGTTCCATTCAGAACTGATTTGCGTTTGTGGTAGATGCGCACATTTGAATTGTAACGTGCTGATCTACCCGGCAGGACACGAGTTGGCATGCGCTTGATGCATGTCTCATAAATCGTTAAAAAATGTAAACGTCTGGGAGAAAGAGAAGAGCAGACATATGGATAGAACGGAATAAGAGTGACGACGCGAAAGAGAGCTTTTTCGGTATGTTTTTCTGTGCGTGCACACACACACACGAACACACACACCGACCCGACCCTGCACATAGACAGCTATACAGCTCTCTTTCGCGTCTGAATGGACAAATACACACAACATTATGTCTAAATGTCCGTTTTGTAGAGTATTCACGTAAACGCAGTCGGTTATGTCTTTACAGAACGTACAGTTGTAAGAATATCGGATGTGCATCAGGGCAATTGGATCTGCACACTCGGTCTTAAAGTGACAGTGTCTAATAAACCTAATGTCGTCTGTACATTTAATATTAATCAAACAACAAATAAAAAGAGAAAAGCATTCACTGCTCTTTAATAGATTTAATATGGATTAATTATATTTAATTTATACAAATAAATATGTCTGCTTGAAAGAAGAAAGAATGATGTATGTATGAAATCATTTTTTTTTTTTTTCTATGAGGTTAAGTGCTCACGGAAGAGATGAGTTTTCAGTTGTCTTTTGAATGCTGTCAGGGATTCTGCATTCCGGATGACGGTGGGGAGATCATTTCACCAGCATGGAACCGTGAATTAGAATGCTCTAGAGCAGGGTTCCTCAAACTCTGTCCTGGAGGGCCGCTGTCCTGCAGAGTTTAGCACCAACACTGATCAAACACACCTGAGCAAGCTAAACAATGTCTTCAGGATCATCATGCCGAAGTATGACAGAGTTTTAATTGTTGGAGATTTTAACATCCATATTTGTTGTCCCTCCAAGCCATTGGTCAAAGACTTCTTAAATCTCACGGAGTCATTCAAATTGATGCAGTTTGTGGCTGGCTCTACACATGAGCATGGACACACATTAGACCTGGTTTTATCGTGTGGTCTACCTGTTACCAATATTAATGTTTGTGATGCTACTTTTTCTGACCACATCCCGGTGTTACTTGAGATTTCTTGTTTCTATAGTCCTAAACATTGTGCTTCTGCTCGTCGCTGTCGGTCATTTAACTCTTTAACTGCAGAACAGTTTACTGATGCTTTTAATAGCACAAACATGGCATTTTCAGTGAACAATCATTATTATAATACTGATGAGTTAACATCATTGTTTTAAACTTCTTGTCAGAATGCACTGGACATTGTTGCCCCTTTTAGGACTGTTCGTGCAAAGCCAAACTCTGAACCGTGGCTAAATGACATAACCCGTGCTGCCAGGCACGAGTGCAGGAGAGCGGAACGTCAGTGGAAAAAAGATAGGCTAAGGGAACTCCGAAAACATGGCCTTCACCCGAGACTGGCCGTGCTGACTGCAGCAATCTCTGTCTACGTACATCACTTTTGGGGATGCCTCTCCTGCCTCCCGGTAGCGTTTCATTAGGCCAGCTGCCATGGGGTCCCAGTGCATGTCCCTCGGCGGTTGTTAGCACAGAGACAAGGACTTGGCCGTGTTCGTTTCCCACATTTGTGCACCAGGCAGCTGTTCCTGAAGCAGCACCGGCAAGTTTCTTTGTGACCTAGTGGGAAAAATAAAAGGGTCAAAAACTCTGTTCATTATGTACGCACACATATCCATATCTGGCAAATTTCTGGATATAAATAGGGCTGTGATACCTTTTTTGTGGAGTCCATCTTGAGAACACAGCCAAAGACAGATGTAATTTTGGCTTTGACCTCATGCAGTCGCCCCAGAACATCCCTGGTGTAGACAGCTAACAGCCACTTAGGTTTAGGAAGGGCAGGTAAAAGGGGAGGCTCAGCAAACACAGGAGGCTGCACAAGGGAGGACCTTGTGAATGGTTCACAGGCAGTCAGGTACTGCAGGACACGCTGTGTCCATGCCTCACTGTGTTGTTCCATCAGCTTATTGTAGAGCTGAGTCACACTGTTGCCCAGTGTCCTCTCCCTCATCATCCTCACCACCTGGTTGTCACGTGAGTATAAGGAAACAACAGTATAATCATGCAAATGCTTTGGTTGGAAAAAATAACACAAATAAAAGCGCCTAATAATAAATGATTGTCATTATGAATTACCTGTATGTCAGCAAAGCTGGAAAGTGACTGCGGTGGTCCATATCCATATCCAAGATGTCCTCGTTCCAGGCTGGATACTTTTTTTTGCAGCGTTTGCACTCCAGATACTCAGTGGCAAGGTCATACCACCCATCGATGTCCAAGACCTTGCGCACGGTACGGTAAAGTCCTGCCGCTGTTAGTCTGTGCTTACCACAGTCTGGGCAAACGCAGACAAGAGGAAATAACCACATCTTTAGCGGTATCCATAAGAAAATGGGCCGACAGAAGAAAAGGTCAGGTGAGGCGGGTGGCTGGGTGTTTATTAAAGGGGGCTGAGGAGGATACCATCAAAGCTTCAGCTGGGACACTATTTCTGGCTTTCCGGTTCGCATGTTGGCCTTAAACAGTGTGTTCCGGATCCACTCATGCTGGAAAGGTGGAAGATGATCTTTCCAGTGACCTGGAAGCTCAGCTGGGGGCTGATGATGAGGAAGATCTGGGCTGCGTTCCAAACCGCATACTCAATGAGTAGGTACTTCATTTCAATGAGTACTTACTTAACGAGCGCTAAAAGAGTAGGTACTTTATAGCCAAATCTCGTTGAGTATGAATCGATCCGGACATCATCCGCCATGTTGACGTTATCATGTGACCTATGACGTTATCACAAGCGCAACAATTTAAAAGTTATGAGCAACAGGTGCACCAACATCTCACTGCATCAGTACAACCTAACTAGAACGGTTTTCATCAGCGTCTGAAATGGTTGGCATGTCTGCAATAGTTAGACGAATGTGTGCACAAAGGAGACGTCGGGCTGCTGCTCGGAGATCTCGCCTTTGGAGAAGACTGATGATTTTACACTCAAACAAAGCAAGTATTACTACTTAAAAAAATAAGATTACCCCAGAATGAATTGCATTACTAGCCCACCCCAACACTTATGCACAATAATGACAAATGCTGACCAGCACTTCATTATATAACATTTTCTTAATTAAAATTATATATTTTGGTAAAACAAGCAAACTGTTGTATTGTCATATGACATAGATGTATGAATACACACTAGACAAATACAGCTGATGTGAATACATGCAATGATTAATGCAAGAATTCATGAAATGGATATTTTATTGAAACATGAATAAATATTTAATATGAAACATGAATAAAAATAAGTAAATTAATGAATAAAAGATATCATATCATCACAATAAATAAATATATATACAAGTCAATACCATATGAAACATTGCTTTATTCAAGATTTTTGTTTTAACAAACTATGATGTATTTACAGGCGGTGAACCCCACATCATACTGCCATCTCAACAGAGGTGTTCCCATTCTGCTGCTTTATTTTGATGAGGCAGCTGATCACCGTGCCCACCTTCGCCTGTCTCTGCCGTCCATCAGGTCCCTGATTGCTGCAGTCAGACTGGAATCGGACCATGGATGGGAACGGGAGATTGAGGTCCTTGTGTTCCTGCACTGGCTGGCCCATGCAGCATCCTACAGGGTGGTGTCGCAGGCCTTCGACATCCCAAATACCTCTGTGTATAACATTGTGCACAGAGTGAGCAAGGCCATCATGGGAATTTTGAGGAGAGTGATTAGCTTTCCGACTGGAGATGACCTGGAGGGTGCAGAGAGCCAGTACAGAACCCTGTGCAGGCTCGTTTCAACAGCAAGCACTCCCGTGCCCGCAACATCGTGGAGAGAGCGTTTGGGATGCTGAAGACACGCTGGCGCTGTATCTTCTTCAAGGCCTTGGAGGTGAGCCCTGCCTTCGTGCCTGAGGTTGTTGCGTGCTGCGCTGTGCTTCACAATCTCGCTTTAGTCAATGGGGACATCATTGAGCCAGAGGATGAGGAAGACCTTGATGACGGCCTCCCTGATCCCCACAACCTTGAAGCAAGAGTGGGAGAACATGTGCGAGACAACTTGGCTGCTGCAGTGTCTGCTCCAAACATCCCTGTGCCGGGTCTCCAGGAGCACGACTACCTTTAAAACATTTAAGAAGATTAAAATGTTTTACAATTCATGTTGTCAGCATTCCGTTTCTTGCCAAATGTCATTTTATAGGTTTACAATTACATCCAAATATTTGTTAGAGCTTTACTACCTTTGTAGTGTAGTGGGCTAAACCACTGAACTGGTTAGCAGAAGATTGCTGGTCGATCAGCAAGGCTCTTTACTCCAGGTTTGTCCAGGGTCATTGTCCCTGTAATAAATGCATTTAGTCACTTTGGATAAAAACATCTGGCAAATGCATAAATGTGATTGATTTTTGTAAAGCTTTTTTTTTAAAACGGTCTCAGGCATAAACGCTCAAAGCTGCTTATTTCGTCAAGGTATTACTATAATACAAAATGCATACATAAATTTACTACAATTTCTATTTGGTGGGTGAAAGGGTTAGTTCACCTCAACATATAAATACAGCCATTATTTATGTGCTTTCATGCTGTTAGATCCCTCTGTTTTTTATTGTTTAAATACAAAAGGGGATTTTTGTCAAGTTTGTTCTGCTGGTTTCATACAATATCAGTCAATGGAGCCCAACTTTCAGAAGCTTCCTGGCATTTTGAAGCTTCTGAAAGTCTATTGAGTGGTATTGCATTAAACCAACAGTACAAACCTGACCAAAATCACCTTTTGTGTTCAGAAAAAAAAAAAACAAAAAAAACAGAGGGATCCAACAACATGAAGAGGAGTAAATAATGACTGAATTATTTGCTTGGGTTCATTAACCCTTTTTTTGCTTGGGTTCCCTAACCCTAGTTAATGCAAAACTTATGCCGAGTTCAGACTGCACGATTTTCAAAATAATCGGGTCACTGTTGTTTTTACCCTGCATGACTATCTGGGGTAACATTCAGTTGCTGCTGTGTTCACACTGCACGATGGATCGGTGACAGGAGGTTTAACACTGCATGACTTTACAAAAGAAAGAATCGCCGACAACTTCTGCCTGGTCCGCAAACTACGTTTCACAACCAAACAAACGCGAGAAGTGATAAGGAAATAACGGAAGATCACGCGTGCGTGAGACCGGAGTTCTCGCGCGACACTGAATTTGTTATAAAAATAATAGCCTACAAATTGTCTGCGCACTGATTTGTAGCGAAAATGAAAAAAAAAAAAAAAAAAAAAGTTTATGCAGGAAATGGTTGGGAAGACGAGGGGAGCAAGGACTGAGTTTTGCAAAGAGAGTTGGGGGTAAATAAATAATTTTGCAAATGTCCTGCTGTTGCTGCTGGTCATGCAAATGTTTGTGCTTTGTTTCTGTTTGATATAATTGTAAATATAGGCCTATCTATTAAAATACTGATATTCTGGTCTATAACTCCTCCTCCTCCTCCCTGTATCTTGCTCTCTCATTGGCTGTCGGTCATCGCCGATGTAGTTTTCAGTCAGAACACATTCACACAGCAGGATTGTGAATCGCCGACAGGTCCAGATATTTAGCATGCCAAATATCTCATGGGCGTCGACGACTCGTCGGCGATTCTCTCAGATCGCGTCTTTGCTCATTCACACTGCGTGATTGTCACTCGCGTGAACAAGCACCGATTTGCCTGTGATTTCTCAAAACCTGTCGGCGAGCCAAAATCGGGGCTAAAATCGTGCAGTCTGAACTCGGCATTTAGGTAGTTTGTGTAAACAGTCTCAAGTTCAGCTTAGGTCATGGAGGGCTATTGTCCAACCCTAATTATACACACCTGAATCAATTTAAACCAATTAATAACTGACTACTTGAAAATTACAGACAGGTGTGCTGGAACTGAACCCTCCATGACCTGCCTTGACAATCCCTGCATGAGCTCTGTGTGCATTTAGAAGTCATATAATACAGTACACTCCAATAAAACAGTTGTTTTAAAGGTTTTTTTTTACATTACACCACACATTCACTAATTATTCATCACTTCATAAATATTTAATTTATGAATTTTATCACAATCTTAAAGTATCAATAAATTCCTAGAAGTCTATAATGTAGGCTACTGTGAATGCCTAGAAATTGTTTGTTTTATATACATAGTATTGTACAAAAGTCTTAGGCCACCATTTGTTGTTGTTGCACAGTACTGTGTGTGTATGTATATATATAATTTAATTCATTTTAACCCAAATGTGTAAATGATCATAAGATGTTTTTTGTCATTGAATTAATTTTTTCGCAAGGATTTCAAGGACAGAAAGGAATTTTTCATCCCTTTCTTTTGTTTATTTATCTCTCCTTTCCTCTCTCTCGCTTGCCTCCCGGTGCCATCTCTCTTCTCTTTCTCTTACTTCTCTTTCCTCTCTCTCTCGTCTCTCCCGTTCTCTTCTGTCCTCCTTCTCCTCCATTTCTCTCCACAGTCTCTCCTCCCTCTCAGCTGCTTTCCGCTCTCTCTCCTCTTCTCTCTCCTCCATCTCCATGATCAGGTCCTCCAGATCTTTCACCCTTTTCCTGGCTCTGGCCTCACTGAGGATGAAGAGGCCACAGCAACATCCGGCCCACATGAGGCAACGAGGGCAGGAGGAGAGATGGAGGGTCTGCCCCCAATTGCCTCATACATGGCAGTGTACCACTTCCAGGACGCTGCTGTGGCCCCTCCATCCTCAGTGCTCACCCCTGTCTGCGGACATTTCAGATCCTGCAAAAATGCACAAGCATGATAAGTAACAAAATTATCTTACTTTGTATTTTTGTTTAAGGTTTTCCCTTTTTTTTTTTTTTTTTTTTTTTTTACAAATGCTGCCGTCACCCTGCCTTGCAGGTCTTGCTCCACCACAAAAGATCTGCAGCAAATGCAGAGAAATCAAGGATCAAAAAAGTGCTGTAATATCTCTGTTGAAATATACTTCAAATAAACAATTAAATAGATTTTTAATTATTTCTGTATACTCACTCAAAGCCTTTGATGGCAGCATTCCGCTTCCCGGTGAAGAGGGCTTCATGAGCCACTCTCCACCGGATAAGCAAACGGCTGTGCTCGTCTGTCCCTGTAACATCCAGACAAGATTTACGTTACCTCTGTGATTTATAAGCTCAATACTACATTTACATGTTGTTCATAAATCTTCCACAATTTTTCAACAGTACTAATGGACAAATGAAATAGATTACTTATGTTTAGTTACTTTATGTAAATTTATTAAACATTCGAATGAAAACAGTGTTGACAACAGTGATGAATTATCTTAAACAATAGTACACATACATAACTCAGAAGTCTATTTCATATCTATTAGACGTAGAAATATGCCATTCTTATATTAGATTTTCTTACCAGATATTAAATAGACATTTAGTAATTGTATTTAAGATGCATACGGTTTAAAATGTATGCAAATCCACTTTGGAGACGTATGTGTCCTTACTGGAGCTCCTCTGTTAGCTAACTTATACATAATAAAATGTGATTTACAGCAAAATCATACATTTACAATACTATATAGCGTCTTTACACCTTCAACAATTCTCATGTTAATATTGAAATATTATAATATAATAACACTCAGGTAATATGACGTAAATTAGAACAGCCTTCTATCTGTGCTGTTTTGACTTCTTTGCTCGCTGTTTTGCTATTATTCTCGTGCAGTGCACTGACTCGTTCACTAAGCTGAACAGCCAATCAGAGTTCCCTCTTTCACCGACATGTCGAATCGGCCGAAAAAAAGCCGACGAGGACCAATTTCAGCCGACGGTTAAAAAAAGCATTAGAGGTAGATGCTGTGAAATGCTTCATATTAACTGATTATACATTTGGCACGAAGAGTAGCAGTTCAACACAGTAGCGTAGCCAGAAAAGAGACTTTGGGTGTGCATCTGAAAAACTGGGTGTGCCACATTTATTGTCAGATTACTGTGCAAAATGATTAACCATAACCATGCCCCACATAACCATAAACTATATAAAATATAACTATACATTACACTCAGGATCACCATAGTCATAACATAGTGCCTGTTAGCTGCTTAAAGGGAGAGACGGCGTGGCCTGGCCTTGAATGCATCAATTATATCATCTAGGTCCAGTGTATCTGCTAGTTCTCGTTCAAACGTCAGCAACGAGAGGCTATTTAGTCTTTCTGTGAGCATGGTTGCTCTGTTGCTGGATTTGATTCGGTTCACTGCTGAAAACAAGCGCTCCACAGAACAGCTTGTAACAGGCAATGTGATCAAAACACGCAGTAAACTGTTCATGTTGGGGAAAACGTACTTGTCACATGAGTCTAAGACTTCAATTAAGGATGGGTAGAGGTGACCCCCATCGACCTTTCGTTTGAACAATTGCACAAATACTGCAAATTCAGGACCTTCCACTACAAGTCCATAGTGCTTACTCGGTACCTGCAATATGTCCATCTGGCCAAACGCGTCAGATCCGGGCAGCAAGGAGGCAGCAGCCTTCATTATTCGGTAGGAGTCGCTCTGAAACCGGCTGTTAAGTTCCATTAGCTGTCTGTCAAGAATGGAAATCCACAAGGATTGCAAATCCAAGTCAGTCCTAATGGGCGCACACCTGCCCACTGTAGAGGTCACATGCGAGTCAGAAAGCCTGGCAGGTAATTTCTTGTTACGTGCACCCACTACGTCCCAGTTGTGCACATCGTTTTTTTTTCATGACGTCATCAGTAAGCCCAATGATTCTCTCAAATTCCCCGTCTGAGTTATTCCTAAATGTAGTAAAAGTTTCTTTTAAACCTTCAATCAAGTGGACACAGTCAGTAACAGAAACAGATGGGGACTGTAGGCCTTTTGTCACAAATTCACTTGCACTGAACAGCTTAGAAAATGCAACAAGGAGAAAGATGAACCTCTTGGTTTGTATTTGTTGCAAAAGAGACTCTGCATCTATTTTGGTCTGGCCTGAGCCTTCTGCAAACTCACTCAGTGTTTCCAATATGACGTCGTACAAAGTCAAGACTCGACTCACAGACTCAGATTTTGAACTCCATCTAATATCCGTGGAGCGCACAAGCTCCAGGCAGGGTTTGTCGGGATGTAGCTCTTTTTGAATCTGTAGAAACCGTGCGTGTCTGTTGGCTCCAGTCATGAAATGATGCAGTGAATTTATAACATCAAAAAAAGTGACCACAGTAGGATACACTTTTGAGGCTGTTGAAAGAACAAGATTCAGGCGTTGCGAGTGGCAGTGTACATACACTGCATGGGGGAATGTTTTTTTGAGGAGCATCTGCACCCCAGCTCTCCCACCTGACATGACTGCCGCTCCGTCAAAACTGAAACCCACACACAATTTAGGATCCAGCTACAGCGGTTCCAGTACTTCCAAAATTTTGCTTGCTATGCCAGAGGATGTCATATCATCTGTTGCCACAAATCCAACAGCTCTCTCTCTTAGATTGCCATTAAATATAAACCTCACACAGACAGCAATTAGTTCCTTCTTCGAGAGGTCCTTGTACTTATCAGCTAAAACGGCATAATAGGTGTCAGCCTGTGCATGCAATTCTGCTCTGATTTTTCGTCGGAGAAGTGATGCTGCAGTTTCAAGGAGGTCGTTTTGAATATCTGGGCTCATCATTTTTGCATTAGCTGGAAGCTCATCAAGGCGTCGTTTGATCTCGGGGTCATATTGACAAAGCACTTTAAACAACTCAAAAAAGTTTCCTCTGTTCAGGCTTTCTATGTCTTCCTTGTGACCACGCAGTGCAATCCCTTGTTTCGCACAGAAAAGCAAAATGTCAATGATAACTTTGACATGTGCCCGGTTTCTTTCAATCAGGTCAGTAAAATGCCCCTGTGCGTCTTTTGTTACCTGATGTATGATGTCACCTTTTCCAGCCCTTTTTATCTCCATGAAACCTTTGTGTCGGGCCACAGCAGCAGCATGGGCTTTACTGGCTTCATGTTTTATACAAAACTGACCAAGATGCCCCCAGTCTCTAAGTCCTGCTTTGCTGAATCTGTCCTCCTTGGCATCAGTGTTAAAGTGGCGACAGGAATGGCAAAAAACAGCATCCATTGTGATACTGTACTCTAACCAAGTGTACCGGCCATACCACTTAGCAGAAAAATTCCTCCTCTTTCCACTGACTGTTTGCGTGACTGGAAAAGCACACAGTTTTGGCTGACATGCAGGCTCATCTACTGCAGAAAGGTTTGTAGGCTTAAGCTCTGATATGGAGGCCATTTCGTTGTCTTCTGATTCTACATTTTTTTCCGTAGCCAGCAGTGCAGGAGGAGTCACACCTGTTGATGTTGGGCCCGGGGAGGGAGAAACATCCTCATCAGGTGTAACGTTAGGCCTTGTGTCCGTCTGTCCATCAAGCCGAGGTTTTTTGCAAAAGAAATTAAGCAGGGAGCTCTGCGACATATTGCTAGCAATGTGTAGTCAAAAATTCTCTGTTGTTTATATGCGCGGCAAATATCTCTATGGAGATGCTAGGGTCACAGCAGCTGCTGTTTGCTGATTGGTTGGCAGTACGAATGTCGGCAGATATTTTTTAAACGAAAATAATTTAAAATGTAAATTACATTTCAACCTTTTGAGCGTTATTATGGCACCATAGCCTTTATTGGATTTTTATTTCTGTGCCCCTGAGAGTATGACTAGAATGTTAAGTGACGTCACAGAACTGACAGATTCAAACTGCTTTCGCGGACGCGGTTGGGGTTAGCTGGCGCTGAGCCAGAGACGGACGCGCTCAGCACTTGTCATATCACAACTAATATGCATTTTTTTCAACCACATAATGTTTATTTTAGGTTTCAGACATTTAAATACACATAAGCACTAGTAAAGCAATACATTTGGAGTTAGTAAAATATACACAGATGGCTAGCAGCAATAACAATCTATTCAAACTCTGAAAAAAAAAGAGCTACTCGGTCCGCCACTAGAGGAGAATGCAATATTCCAAATCGCAAAACCTCATTTGGCAAATCAGCCTTTTCTTTTGTGGCTATAACTCAGTGGAACACTCTCCCCACACACCTTATTACCTGTACAAATCCTCAAACCTTCTCGAGTTTGACAAAAGCATGGTTATTGTCACAACAAAACTGTACACATCTATGAAATGTGTGTGTGTGTGTGTGTTTTGTACTGGGAGAGGTAGGGATCTTGATTGTTTAGTTTTGTCGGGGTGGGGTGGGGTGGGGTTGGTTTTAGGAATGGGGGAAAATTGAGCATATGTTAGTTTTAATTGTAAATTAATTTTATGGTTAGAAAATTGTATATTTTAATGTTTTGTATTATTCTCTGCCAAGGGACTACGGGCGGAAAATAGCACTTGTGCTACAACCTGGCACAATGCATCTCTCTTTGTTTTTTAAACAAGGTTAATGTTAACTTGTGCATTGTCCCTATTTAAATAAAATGAATCAGAATCAAATGTAATTTGCTGATGTGTTTTATTTATATATCAGACACACATAGCGGAACTATAAAGTTTACTCTATTCTTCTCCCAGTTCAACGGCCACTTTCTTTCATGTATTTCGGGAGAAACTGATAATTTCAGGTGCTGTAAATCCAGCTGACAGAGGACTCTCTAAACTGCGGCGATCATCTTGTTATATAGATTATAGATATCATTTATAGAGGTTTTTAAACGAAGAATTGGAATATCAGACATGGTAAATTAAATAAAAGCGAATAGCGATACATCTGTCAGTTATTGTGGCTGCGGTGTGTCACGTGACAATCATGACGCGTCGCCATGGAAACAAGGTCAGTTAAAATTTGTTTAACTTGCGCTTGAAAGTGTTGATTTAAAAAAATATATTTTAAGTAATCAACAATAGCCCAAGTTTAGTAAAACATTTTTTATTAAGACTATAAAAAATAATTCTGAATCCATTATTAGGTGTGCCAGCTGTCACTGTGGGTGGCACCGGCACACCCTGGCACACCCGTGGCTACGCCAGAGGTTCAACAGGCTCTGATGGCTCTAGCTCCCCCTGACTAGCTGATATGCTGTCTTGATAGTTTTAAATGTTGTGTGTCTTAATGTTTTTTTGTTTGTTTCCCTTTGGTTTTACAAATATGACCTAATATATGTTGTGTTACTTAAAATAAATGTTTAAATAGCATTTATTTTTGTATTGTGTTATATTTTTATGCTATAAGTGGTGTTAAAAAATATCCTGCACATTAATGGGCCAATGTGTTATGATTTGGGATGTGGTGGGCTGCTGTGGGCCAGAAAGTCCAGGGCCACTTTTTGGTCCTAGTCCGCCCCTGGTTCTGCTGCTGGAGAAGGTAAAGGAAATGGATCTGGAAACAACAAGTGGACAAGTTTGCTATAACTATAAATGAA